AAGAGGTCTAACTGTATACGTATATTTTTGAGCATGTACTATAGTCAATTCAATAAATTACTATTTACATAATGTGATACAATATGAATGTATAATGAGGTACATGTTATTTCAAAATGTGCGTGGGCATTATTTTGAAACTAGTTATAAAATTTTTAGGAGGCACAATTTTTGAATTAATGCCCATGCCTACTATTTCGAGATTTTACAGTATACTATTTTTTATTTTAAATACATTTGCTAATAAATTTTTTATACTTACTTTTTTCTAGATATTTATTTCAGAATTGGCTTTTAAACAAAAAACTAAATATCTAAATTTAGTGTTTAGTTACATTCAGTGAACACTTATATGAACCATTGATGCAGTTTATAGTTGAAAAAGACCCTATACCTCATATTCAAGTAAAGGCCATTTGGTTCAACTTCTATATGGGTGACCTACTCATGAAATGCCTGATAAGGTAAATAAGTAAATAAAATTTTTAGATGAACTCAAAGAAAACCTTGACACATTCTTTAAACAAGAACCGCTAATAGTACTTAAATTACTAAATAATGAAGACTTCAGTGAGCTCTTTGATACTTTGGAATAAGGAATAAATAAAGCATATAAAAGTTTTTTAAAATGGATGTCTCCATGGGTGCATTTACCTTTATCAATCTGTTGCTTGGGTGGAAATTCTAGTCATGAATTTGTATGAGCATTCTACTATGTTGTTTTTTAGCAGTGGCTTCTGGAACCAACAGAAAATAAAATAAATTTAGCACAATGATTATGTGATGATCTTGAGATAACTAATAATACTTTTGGCCTTTAGGAAGAATTATTAGATACTTTAAAAATTAAAGATGAATTTTAAAAATTTTGTTTAACTTCAAATTCTAAAATTTATGAATATCCATCATTATATAAATTTGTTAAAGAACAAATTTACTTTATTATAATCCATCAACAACAAGTAGAGAGACTTTTTAATAAATTAGATTTGAAGACTCACCCAAATATAACACAAGACCTAAAGCAATCAAAATTACAACTTTCATCTGGAAATATTAATAGAGAAAATATTGCTTTAGGCCTCATAAATGTTCATATAAAATGTAAAAAATTATCAGAGAAAACAGTACAAGATAATGTGGTAACACATGGGAAGGAAGAATGTTTCTAGAATTATTTAAATTAAGCATTAGAATCTTTGTCAAGTAATAAAATAAATATTATAAATATGTATGAATACGCAGTAAAGACTTAAAATAAAATCAAAATCGGTGATCATCTAAAAAAAAAATCTAATACTGTATATAGTAATTTTTTATATGATCTACATAGTACATTGGACACCCTACCGTACCGTACCCAAAAGAATAATATTTTTATAAGGTATACAAATTATAAATCTATATATATTTAAAATATTAACTGTACCGTACCTAGATAATAAATATTATTATTAGGTACAGTTCTTAAATTAATATATACTATATTGCGTACCTACTAGGTACACAAAAATTACTAGGTACATATATATACTTTAGAAATGTACTGTACCTTACCCAATACTCAAAACTGTACCGTACCAAAAAGGATATTACCTTAAGAGAGATTTTGAATTTAACACGATTATGGAATTTTATTTTACGTACCTAAATTTTAAATCCTGATAAAAGTATCAAACGTAATAACTAATAACAAGTCTTCGACCATATACTGTTAGAGTTTATAATATTCTTATCTAGTCAGCATACTAAAATTACTTGCTAAGCTGATTGTATATAATACTCTTATACATTCTGTATATTTTATTCTTGATTTACATAAATTAAAAACTTGCCAAACACAATTATAGGTTTTTTTTTTTTTTTTAGCGTCACCCACATATAAGATATGATATACAACATATTTACCGTACAAATTATGAAACCCCATAAGGTAATTAGAAACTTGGTAATTTGCTCTAATGTTTTATTATAAAACACACCTTCGTACAATTTTAGAAAAATTTTACAATTCTATTTTAATTGAATATTTTCAAATATTAATCACAAATATTTTTTTTAAGATTTAGTAAATATACAAAATTAACTAAACAATCTACTGTTAATAATTAGATCAATGATCTAATATCCAGTTTGCAATCGTAATTATGTTCATGCCAGTATGACATTGCACTAATTAGTCCATGATAATTAGTAAGACATGCAAAAACAACAAAGAAGTGAAAAATTTGATGGGAAGATCCCTATTAGATATAAAAATGAATTTTCGAATTTAAATCAAATCTTTTTAAAAGAAAAAAAAAAATTTAAATAACATACCCATATATCAAATGTTCCAGGAGAAAGCTTCTCAGGCACCCTAAATAGATATATGTACATAGTTTAGTAAATTTCAATATTTCAATAAGTACATTTACATAAACTAATAATTTGCCAGAATAAATGCCTTGATCCATATATAATCGCACCCACAAAATAAATGGTAATAGTTATTAGCATCCATTTTAAGGAAATAATATTATTGCAAATATTAAACTAAATATATAGACAGTAATTAATTTTGTTATTTTAAGTTATCAAAATAAAATAAAAAAAAACGATATCTGTTAAAACATACCCCATAGAGTATAAGTGCGTGAAAGATCGGTATTACTACGCTAGCACCTTCAAATCGTATAAAATGTACAAGCAATGCAATTATATGCAATTATAGATAAACTTCACATAATATTCTCATAATGCACACAGAAATATCACAAACCTAATGCAATAAATAGCGTAGTGCGAAACCATCGAAATTCAGGTGTTCGAAATCGAGCAGGAATAGCTACAGAAATCTAAATTAATTAAACAAATGAATTAGTTAAATAGAAATTAAACATAAAATATGTGCACATAATTTACGAACCGTTGCAATTCCAAGTACGATAACCAATGTAATATAAATAATACTTATCGTTCTATTACAATAAAAAGCTACAAATAAATGATTAAAATATCTATAAAATTATGAATTATCTATAATGATAAGGAGAAAGCTTTACAAGTTAATTACCATAATATGAAATAGGAACCACTGATCCGCTATTAAAACAGGTTGTTGTTTTTTTTTAATGAATCAGTTATTGAAAATATTTATATGAAATTAATAAAAATAAAATTTGAAATATTTACATGCTTAAAAATACTATTCCACAATAATCGCATCTATTCCAGTTCGCACAAACCTATAAAATATATATACGTATTATGTATGTATGAATTATATCAATATATATATATATATATTATAATACAACAACATTAATTACCATTTCAGAATGACACATAAAAGAATGAAATAATGCTGAAAAAGTTAGGCAGAGTAACACACCAACTAAAAAGCTATATTGAACTACGAAATCCCAAGGTGTTATTGAAGAATAAGTCGATAAAGAGAAATATGTTGTAATTAAAATAATTATGAATATAACTGCGCCAACAAGATGAGACCAGATATTAACTTTTAGGAATAAAATTTCGATTAGCACATTTTACTATCACCAATGATAATATTGTTAATAATAATAATAATATATATATGCACCACTTTCGTTATGAAGATAAAATAAAGATCGCATGCATTTGATATATGAATAAGTTGGTCGCCGGTAGCCTACAAAAGTTATTCATCCTAGATCATCATTATTTTAAAATAAAGTTTGTTTAAATTGTATATTATGTGATCATACCTGTAAGAATATCAACATTGTCTTGCAGCCAATGAGGAAGTTCGCTAAAACTACAAGTTAAAGATCTATTTTCTAAACCAAAATTATTATCTATGCAATCAATATTATTTACAAGTGACATTTTCTCGTTGAGTAAATTTGGAGATAATTTTCTGTGGAAGAGGGGCATTTTGAACAGCTCTGATTATTTAATGTCAAAATAAAAAACAAAGAAATGTCAAAATAAATGCTATAAACAATAAAAGATTTTCGAAACATCGAAAATGGAAATATGCATTTATATGAAACTGTCTTACGTTACTTCTAATCAATAATCCGATTTGAACAGTGTTGCACACGTTTGAACAGATAAGAAGTTATGTACTACAGTGATCCCTTCTTTGACCATACTTTGGGGTAGATTTTTTATAAACAATTCGATCTTGTAACAATAATAAAATATATATGATAAAAATAGTAAACACATTAATGCACAAAAAAGTCTGCCCTTACGAATATAATTGTTTCTTTTTAAAGCTTAAATTTATCGGCTTTCTGTGCGATATGTACTGTATACGTAGCTTCTAAACTTGGACAGATCCTAAAAATGATTTCGATAACACAAAAAATTCTTATTTTTAACAAAATTTTGAGATATTCGTCTTGGCACTTTATTTGTTTAACACAATCAAAAGGCTTACAAACTACCTAGTATCTCAAAATTTTATCTATCCTTTTTTTTCAGTATTTATTTATTTTTTAAAATAATGTATATACTGTAAAATTCAAAATATTTGGCTGGCTATTATAACATAAGATAGCTGCGCGACGCTGTCGCGCTAGAAACCAGGAACGGAGGCAAATGGTTAAAGCAAACGTAAGTAGGAAATCAAATGAGAACTGAGTTGCATATTTGAGTGTTTAAAGGTTATTGTTGATCTAGCATTTCATTAGTTTATTGCGGCATTGATGTATAATTATAAGGTAGCTGTGCGACGTCATCGTGCAAAACCAGGAATGGGAAAGTATCTAATATCATGCGGTTTAAAATTTTAAGGTAGAATTATAATTAGTCAAGCTTGTAGTAATAAAAAAATGCTTAATATGTACTGTTAATTTTTCGCAATGACGAGAATAAGAGGTAAATTCATGGTTATTTAAGGGCCCTTCGAGCCCTTATATGACCGAAGATCTATGGCTTATTTCTCTACGATATTGTATGATGGCAGATCATATAGTCTGTATATAGTAGTGATATCTTTTTTTTTGATTTACAAATTTCACAAATTATGCATCTTCATACAATATTGATAACGAGTTCAGTATGGTATAGTTTTAAAATAGGCATTTACATCTTCTTACCTTGGTCATTCAACTATCCAGATCTTCTGTAATTTATAAAATGAAAACTATTCCATACAATCTGCTATTGGGTATTGTCACGCAGTTAGACAATCGCCGTAGCGACTGTTATCTTGCCCAGATGGCTTTATTGATACTTCTAGTCTCGCTTGGCACAAGACGCACACACCTTTCCACTCAAAACACACCGACTTTCACGTAAGCCTTGATTTTAATTAGACGTTTACTTTCCTTCTAGTCAAGAGACTAACTAGTTCTCTTTAATTACATTTGCTATTTATACAATATGCTCTATTACATACTTTGTGTTACACTTTAACTACTTCTTTGTTATTAATTTAACAAACTTTTAACTTCCCTAAATTTCGTCATTGTTACGAAATCGGTAATCACGGTACCTATTGTACCCGATCCTACTAATGCCGCCCGACACTATGACTTCCACGATCGATCACATGGTCACGTGAGTCGTTCGATTCATATATCCGTTTCACCTTTACACCTTTCGACTCATTACATATTTCTTTGTCAAGCTGCATTCCCCTCACTAAGTGCAAGGGTTCTTCGTAAACTATGCGACAGGTATTTTATACATTTCTGCATTTTATACTCTTGCTGTACGAATCTAATCACGCATAAAAATATTCAAATTTATGACCATCACTGACCTTTTATACGCCTTGAAACTCTCATAACTCTCATAGCTATGAAACTCATATTTTAAACGTTAAAATAAATAATAAATTGGTAATTCGAAATAAATTAAGAATGTAAGTTGGTTTATGATTAACGCTTTCATCTCGTGAATTATTTTTCACTAAATTCATTAAATACAATATTTGACATTTTTCCAGGTGATAATAAATATAGGAGCTAGTGACTATTTGTATGCTCAGGTAAATTGTTGTTGACGTAAGCACGAATTTCTTTATTATATAGCATAAAAAAATAATTTTTCAATTAATAAGGCCACTCCGATTTAATTTTCTGTTTAACATAACATAAAAGTCGCTTACGGGAGTGGGGAGAGGGTATTAAAAAAAAAAAAAAAAAAACACAAAAATACAGTAATTCTATTGGCTGTAAAAAATATAAAAATGCAAAAAGTTAATACTGTAATTTGATTGGTTAATATTATGTGTTTTTTCATACAAGATTTTAAAAAATAGAGGGGGGATTATGTTAAACAGAGAATCAAATTGATCTGGCTAACTTTTATTCTGAGTACATCCTACAACGTTTTGAATGTGTATCACTGACATCACATACAGCACATTGTATATTGTTCAAGCTTTTCATTCCTTTACTTTTTTAGAAAGTCCAAGATCTATATGCGCTGTACAAATTTGCTTGCAAGATGTTTCCGCTGTGCAAATCTCTGTGGCGAGTTTCTGCGAATGAATCGACTTGAGATCCACAGCTATACAGTGCAAGAGACTCAATTTATACTTCCATTCTATTATTAATATAATAAATTTGACCTCTATAATTAGCACACTTCTTTATAATCTCGCTTTTTTGTATCCCGTGGGTGTGATTATAGAGAGGTTTGACTGTATTTGTATAAGATTTTGTCATAATAAACCTTTTATTGCCAGTGATATAACAATAATTCACCATAATTATTCCTTGATACTCCAATATATTCCAAGAACGAAGGATTTTCGTAACCAATTTCGCAATAATTCTTCAATTCCTGAATAAAATCTTGCACATTTTCGCATAAATCACGAATCACTTTAAATGCAATACTTCCCATGTATGATTAATTCTATCAAACTAAGTTGCATTATACACGGTTGCGAATCTCCCTATCCTTCTTCTACGATATTTCTGAATTCATTGTAGTCAATCCAAGATAATTTAAATCTCTCATCATGATCTGGTGATTGATTAACTTTAAAAGACTTTCATATTTTGTGAACCAAAAATTTGCACTCTGAATATATCTCTGTACCGATACCGTTCGAGCAACATTACTCATTGCTTCTTTAACACCATATTAGCTGATTTTTTATAGTATTCAAACGCTTATCATAATTTCGATCAATCTCTTTCCCATTTCATAACAACCCAACATATTCCATTAGCATTATCCAAATCGGCCGATCTCTTATAATATTCAAATAATTTCTGGTAATTTACTTCTGCTCCAATTCAATCATAATAACCAAGAATAGAATGTGTGCACTCGAATTTCCTAACTCAGCTACTCTTATAGTTGTTAGACGAAACCTCGAGGTTTCGCGCTGACGAAAGTCGAAACCTAGTTTAGACTTTCGTCAGTTAAAATCTCAAATGACGAAATGTCGAAACTGACAAAAGGTGACGAAACTAGCGGAAGGTGACGAAAGGTACCGAAACTGACGAAACTCAAAGGGTGACAAAATTAATAAAAGATGAAGAAACAGATAAATGTTGTTGGAACTCATTGAAGATAATGTGAATGAAAAATAAATCGTAAAAACAGAAATTTATAAAATTTTATTATATTAGGGCGCCTTGGCTTTCTACATTTTATGATCATAAAGGGCTAAAAGCAAAATGTACAATTTATACTTAGATTAATTTTAATAAGAAACTTAATTATTTTACATATTTCAGAATTTCGATTAAAAAATAATTGTTATGTCTATTGGCTAAATTAACTTGAATAAAAAATTAGCACAGACAATAAATTAATAAGATCTTTGATTGTTGCAATACTTGCCAGTTAAATAAGAAACTTAATCACTTCATAGACCGACAAGTTTATTTTACTATTATGATATGATATTAAACTTTATTGCCGTGTCTTATAATTTTCTAGTGAAAAAATTTTTTGATCCTAATTTACTAAATACGTCTATATTTATATTTATTTATTTGTTTAAATATTTCGAGAGATGCTAATAGTCTATTACCTATTTATAATTTCTGTAATTGGCTTTTTAAAAAAGCTCCAAAATAATAAATCTTTGAGCATGACGGAAGTTCAATTTTATTGGCTACACGTGTGTAAATCGCAGATCCTAAATTGTTAAATATGATTGGCTAATAAAATTAGTAAAATTTTATACTTGCCGATTAAAAATTTTGTGGCTAAGCATTCGTCGCAAATAGAGCAGTGTTTTGTATAGTTTCCGCGTAGTTGAGTTTACGTGTGATTGAAAGAGTGTGGATTGTTGTTGTAGTCTGGTTTTGTCATATTCAAGCTTTGCGTGGTTAAGTTCACCATAGTCAAGCTTCAGCAGTTAAGTTTTCTGGGTCAAGTTTCACCGAGTCAGGTTTCGCCGGGTCAAGTTTGTTAGCCAATTTTCGCCTTGGTCAGGTGTTGCTAGTTGGCCAAGTTTCTCCGGGGCCTTTCATTATTGCTAGAGTTAGGTTTCTTGGGTCAAGTTTTTCTGGGTCAAGTTTCTCCGGGTCAGGCTTCTCTTCTCCAAGACCAAGGTTTATAGTAAGTCTTATTATTCCTATTTTTTAAAGCGCAAGAAATATTTATTATTTGCGACGACTAATCATTTTTATCTAAAAAAAAAAAAAGGCAAAATTTATGTAAAAATGCCCACCAAAAATTTGGGCCCTTGTTCAATTATCAGTTGTACGAATACCAATGTTCAATTTCGTACAATTACAGTGCTTGCTTACGAAAATTGCCAAAGAAAACAAACATTAGAGGCATATCCTTACCTTGAGGTTGGGAAACAACTATGCCATCTGCATTATTGCAAACTAGTAGAGCCATATGTCAAAAAACATGTTCAACCCGAAAATGTGCTAGAGCCAATAAACCTCCAATCAAATAATTCAATTGATGTATTTTATTTTAGATTTAATTTTTTTTTTATAAATTATTTATTTTATATATTTATGTACTGTATTTTTTATTAATTTAAAAAATAGAATACGTTCGCTTCAAGTATAGATATGCTAACTAAAGCATTATACTATCAACAACGCCGGGAACGTACTAGTTTGGAATTGGATCCGGTAAATTTCGAACGAATGATTGAAACAATTAATCTGGATCTTAAAGGTTTTTTCAATTTTATGATGGAAGCAATTATTCCTAAAGAGCGCTCTGCTTATAGCATAAGCGAAGCTAAAAAATCGGTGGTTGGGTTGTGCTATTTAATCGTGGGTTTACGCAACAAATTTGTAAACCAGCATAAATTAGAAGTAGGGTTGTATTTGAGAACATCAGATGCGACGTGGGAGGCTATTGACACAATGTCAAGTCTTGGATATTCGGTGTGCTCCAAGACAGTAGATATATATCAAAAAAAAATTCAAAAAGAGCATTCAGCTAAAATTGATAATTATTTTTTAGAACATGTAATATTGTATTGTATTTTATTATATAATATATTAAAATATATTTATTAAAATAAA